TGTAACGGAATGATTTTTTTTAAACTTCAATTGTGTTCATGGTTGTTTTTGCGTTTTTCTAAAAATAAAAATAAGTAGGTATTTATAATACGAGTATTATAAATTATTTTTAGCTTACTCATTACTTTTTGACACTTTATCCTTATTTTTACTGCTGTTGCTATCCGGCATACTTTCCATTATCTTTAATACTTCGACGTCTTCCTCATATTGTTTTTTAATATCTTTAACTTTAATCAATTGTYTTTTTATTATTTTCTTTACTGAAATAAAATCAAACAAATCGAATATTTACATTGTTGGCATTACACCTTATCTATTATTATACCTATCCTGCGCTTACACGGTACTACAGTGATGCATTAGCTTTTAATAATATATATATAATTATATAAATATATGATATACATTTATAAATATGGTTGTATATAATAATACAATACTCGTATATCCATTTAACATAGAGTATTTATTTAGCTTAAACCAACATTTTGTGGTTAACCTAACCATAGTGCCGCTCCAATCCACTTACCGAAACTTTAAATACTTAAAATATTAGTTATCTGCAGCTACTACAAGTTTGAAATTTAATTMAATTTAAAAATCAAAGTTCTTAGAAATGTATTGATGTGTAAAAAAAGAATTAATGTTAGGAAATACATATATGACTAGGTATAAAATTGAGAATGTCTAYTGTCGTTAAAAAAATTAATTGCTAAAAAAATGATAGTGATAATTATATAGAGTATTATTGGAATTAAGATGTTTTCAAAAACCCACGATCTCGTAAACAAGAATTCTAATCTTAGAGCTTTAAGACCGTGCCAAATCCTTAATAATTTTTAAAATACTCAGTAGGTATTTACTATTGAAAAAATCGTACGGTATATCAAGGCTAAGCAAGTTTTCTTAACTCCCATCATTAAGTTTAGTCAATATAAAAAAAATGTAAGTTAATCTTAAAKTTAAAAATCAGTTGGGTACTATTTTTCATATAACATTTTTTAAAGCTGAAAAATAACATAATGACTCAATAAAAGTCTCATGGTTTTAATTAAAGGTATGTATTAAATTAAATTTCTATAAGTAATTATATACCTCAATACTTTAATCAATGACAAAATCCCACAAAATAATTATTTTTATGTAATTTTGATTATAAATAGTCCTAAGGGTCAATAACTACCTATATTAAATTATAACTACCGAATGTATTATTAGAATATAATTAATAACCTACGTCCTACAGATATTATATAATATCAAATAGTATACCATTCAGTTATTATCGAATAAATGATTAAAAATATATTATAATAGGTAAGTAAAAGCTATTACCTAATTATGCACATTAATGATTATATTTATATTATATTATGAGTAGGTATATAACCGTGTGTGGGATACTAAGTAAACTGTTTTAGGGGATATAGTGGCCGGGTGGATTTAGGCGTCGGTGGCGACACGCACCGTCGCAGATTTGAATCCAAGCCATGGGCGGCATAGTTTTCCTGGTAATTCATGCTATC